TGTGAGAGTATGTGCGAGTAAGAATGTGTGTGTGTTTGTGTGTGTGTGTGTGTGTGTGTGTGTGTGAGTGTGTGTGTGTGAGTGTGTGTTTGGGAGTGTGTATATGTTTGTAAATGAGTGTTTGTGAAAGTGCATGCTTTTAGTTTGTTAGTTTTAGTAAGCATTTTGCGGAACTTGCAACACAATAAGGTCATATGAGTGCTGAACATTTAAGGTATTATGAGAGAGTAACAAACTCTAAAAAAGGAGGAAAGATAAGGATGTTAGATGTTTGATAAGGAAGAAGGATTAAACCGTACCAGAGCACCAGTCTACCACCCGTGGGTCACGTTTGAGTGAAGATGAACGTCAAAAAAAGACACTTTTACCCATTTAAAAATCGGTGTGTGTGTGTGTGTGTGTGCGCGCGTGCAAGTGATTGTGTGTGTCGAAAGTTCCTTTTATTCCCCGTACTCCTCTTCATACTACTTTTCGTACTGATTAAAGTAAAATAAATATGGTACAATAGCCCCTCCATAACGATCACATGCAGTCACGAACATTTGAGGTATAACACAGACAATGAAAAAATAAAACTTAACAAAAACTCAACCCAAGTAGTAAACTACAATAGAGAGCGCCCATCAAACACCTGGACGAGGTAGGAACACTCGAAGGGGGAATAACCAAGTCATTATTCCAGATTTGGCAAGTTACCACAATTATTGCCCTTGTTATAATTTTATTTTAAAAAGCTTTTAAAAAACAGCACAAAAAATCCAGCATCTCGTCTTCTCGGATAAAGACGGAAAATCTCAGAGGTCCTGTGAGCATGTTGCATACATTAAAGATCGTTTGGCTGTTTAAAATCGTAGAAGAGCTGGCCGTCAGGTGCTTGATAGGGTTTCACAATTTCCCAACCAAAACGAATCTCTATCACATCTGTAAATAAGTTGTAAGACACACCTTTATACCTTCCCTGATTAATCCAACTCATTATCTCTATCATTACAGCCCAATGAATGTCCCAACACAGTATCTCTAAAAACACCACCCAATGTCCTAATTCAATATCTGTAACAACACCACCCAATGTCCTAATTCAATATCTCTAACAACACCACCCAATGTCCTAATTCAATATCTCTAACAACACCACCCAATGTCCTAATTCAATATCTCTAACACCACCACCCAATGTCCTAATTCAATATCTGTAACAACACCACCCAATGTCCTAATTCAATATCTCTAACACCACCACCCAATGTCCCGTCCAGCATCATTGTGCCCAAAGGAAATGCACTTTACAAGAATTTTCCTCATTTCACTCAGATGTGAATGGATACCCGACCATAGACAGTGAAAGATCTTGTTAGTATGTTAGTGCTTTAGCGCCTGCAAAATGGCACTTTGCACTGTATGCTTCCCAGGAAGTTGAAAATGTTTCAGAATGCTACCAGGTCTGCTGCTGTAACAACATAAGACTGTAAAGCAGACAGAACTTGCTGTTGAGCCATCACCCAATGTTTCAACTCACCGAGCTTGCAGACGAGATGATGCGACTCGGAGCCGGCATGATGCCGAGGGTCGACAGAGATGATGAAGCGACGGCCCAATCGGGCAATCTCCCCCTGTAGGATGTCCGGGAGCTCCTCTGAGGCATCTTTCTCCAGTTTCCTCTTTTTGCACGGGGGAGGACTAGGAGCTCTGGCAAACAAAAAGTGCACATTTTTTTAGGTTTTATTTTGTTGTTTTTTGTTTTTTAAGCAAATGTTTTATGGCACTTGCAACACTATAAGTGGTACGATCGAGTCACGAATGCTCAACTGTGGGAGAGAACAAGCCAAAGGCCAGTAAAGGAAGATATTCAGGTGAAGAAATGAAAATGGATTGGACACACCCTGAGGAGACCCCTGACAAGCATCATCAGGCAGGCTTTAACGTGGAACCCACAAGGAAAGCGTAAGAAGGGAAAACCAAAGATGCCATGGAGGCGAGCGGTACAAGCGGAAATTGAAAAAGCGGGGATTGTTGATGGCCTGTGCTCCACTGGGAGTTAAAAAGGGCAAGAGAGAGTGAGAGCAACACTATAAGGTCATTGTGAGCGGCTCAGAGAAAACATGCGGGATGGTGAGGTTTTATATTTTGAGATATCGCCGAAATTAGGCCCTGGACTCCATTTTTATGGAACACGAGATTATAAGAAATTTAGAAAGATAAACCATTTTTATATCACAAGTTTCAAGAAATATGCTTTAAAATGATTCTAAATATTTTAAAAGAATTTTTTTAAGGACATATTGTTGCCGAATTACACCGAATTCCTAGACAAACAGAGGGAATCTTTACTCAACCGGATGGACATTTTCTTTCCACGCGAACCCTGCATATTATATACCAAAAGAAAGAAAATTTTATTGCTGTTTCGGGAAAACCCAGTGCACATGTATATTTAAACATCACAACTAGTTACAAGAGTGGTGCATCTTCTAGTTTCACCTCTGAAAAGGTTTTTTCAAGAGCGCCGTTTAACCTTCTTCTGTTCCATTTCCTGCCATTCAAACCAAATGTGAACTGTTCCTAATTGAATTGAATTTCTTCGTTCTGCTCTGCAAAGTATTTTTTTTTTGGGTACAGTTTACAGTAAGTAAACTGCAAGTTTTCTGTTTCAAAATGGTTGAGAACTATTGTTTACTTAATTTTAATTTGTTCCCAAAGAAAACAAAATTTTAAAACCCATCGTCTCAAAACTTCACCTTGGGACCACTCTGTACACTCTAAAAAGCCAAAACTTTTCACAGAATGCTTCAGCTGCACTCAAATAAAGTGCAAAATGCTCGGGAAATGTGTGTCTTTCAAAACATGCAAAAAAGTCAGTTTTGAAAATTTGCACCATATGAAGGGTTTTCTCAGAGCCACACACTTATCACACACATATAAGTGCCGATTGTTTTATTCAAAATTTAATAAGGAAGCAAAAAAAAAAAAAAAGATAAAAGAAAAAGACCAAACAACCAACATACTCCGATGCCGGTTTAATTTGCTAGTCTACCAAGATTTTTCTGGTTTGGCTGCCGGTCTACCACTGGACCAGTCTGATAACTGGTTCATTTGATGGTCTATCAGGATATTTCTTGTCCCATGCATTTATGCAGGCTTGGGAGGGTAATTAGGTACATTAAAAATGTTTTGGTGGTGGTAGGCTGTTTAATCAGATCTTAATTGTTAAAAATATGGAGATAATTAGAACATCTTGTTCATTCATACAAAAGGTAACATAACACAATTAAAAAACAATACATGCAGGGTTGCCAGCAGGCTCTGACAAAAAAGCCTAAAAATTTTCCGGTTTAAAATTCTATGCACGGCATTTCATTAAAAACAGATAAGATATTAACATGTGCCAAAATATTTAATACATAGGCCTAAGTCTATTAGAAAAAATCTAAATATTAAAAAAATAGAACACCAAAGATTGCATATTGATGTGTGTAATGGATGGGGGGAAGGTCTTGCTGAAAGAAATTACTTTCTCCTCTTGGAGGAGGTGCCAGCCAGTTTGCACCCCTCCCTCTTTCAATACTAGGTACCTAGTTTCTGATCCACTCTGTTTCATTTATTCAGATTTTAAAAATACTAAGTACCTATTTATTCATAAAAAATATAAAAAATAAAATAATGCCCAGCCCCAACAGGAAATGCACAAGAGTTCATGACCCGTTCTGATCTTCCTTCAGGCCTAGCCGGTGTCGGGCTACAATTAGCCGACCAGGCAGGAAAATTTCTTCATGGCTCCGCCTATCTCCACCAGAAAAACTGTGAAAGCCAGGGGGATTTATTCGAGCTTTAGCCAGAACACTAGCAACCCTGTACATGTAATTATGAAAAACAAGAGCATCAGCTACACTTTTGAATAAAAGCTATCTTCAATAACACTGAGTCCACAACCTTAAAAACTGTAAGAGTCAGAGTCACTTATTACTGAGAAGACTCGTTAGTCAAATCTAACCTAGGTGGCCCTTACGGCAGGCAAATGTTACATCAACAGAGAAGAGCAACCTTTTCTGCATCAGTCAGGAGTCATTCCGACATTATAAACCTCAGTTGGTCTTAGTTTCAGTATGAGTTTTAAGGCACTTGCAACACAAAGAGGTTATAAAAATACTGAAGATTCAAGGCGTTTACTTGAGAGTAATTTACAAAGAAAAGATATTTAAGAAGGAGGAGACATATTTTTTACAGAAAAGAGGGAGCAAATCATTTTAGAGTGCTCACCAACCACCTACTAGAATACACTCTACCCATCAGTCAAAATTCAAAACCAATATGAAAAAGTAAGATAAAGGTAAAGGATATCGGGACTGACTTTTATTGCGTTTGTTCGAGTAAAGAGAAGTAGGCCTACATTGGAACAATAATGGTCTTTAGTGCTGAGAAAAAGTAAGACGGATAAACAGCAGAGTGAAAATAAAGAAGTAGGACCTACCAGTGGCACCCTCCAACCATCCACGACTGACTAAATATTCAAACGACCAAAACAAAAGACAAAACGACTGCTCACTTGATTGGGGGTCCCATGTAGGCTTCTAGAGCCGGCCCAAATGTGCGGTACAGCGAGTGGTTGAGCGAGGCCGCAGAAGAGAATTGAGCCACTGCGTCCAGTAAGGGCTGACACATGTGACCGTTGGCGCTGGAGCTACTGCCAGTTGGGTGCTGAAGGGGGGTGGGGGGGTGAACACAAACACATCAAACGAAATTAATTTTTTAAAATCAGCCAGAATTCATTACATCGATTTTTCTACACAGTCAGAATTTAATCTGAGCTGTCATTCAGAATGCATGCAAGTTTTTGAATCTCCGATAGTTTTGGATCTAGTTCTATCTCATTCACAGTGACTGGTGTTTAAGATCCAATATTGTCGGTGACACGATGTGCTGCTACTCAAAAAATACGCTTTCAAATGTTGAATTCTCACAAAAGAAGAAAGTATCGTGACTTTACCAATATCATAAACATGGAATTGGAGGACTGGAAAGCAAAGTGTATTTAATTAGAGGTGAAAATGATATGCTGTGTCGTTCTGGCGGAAGGAGGTAAACAGAAACGACAAGGAGCATGTTGGTCTGGCTGATAAAAGTTAACAAGTCACTTCACATTCTCCTTAAGGGAAAGAAGCAGTTATCTGCGGAGAAATGGTGGGTTTTTGCGCTGATTACAAATTGCCTGCCATTGTTATAATTTCCTTTCCTTTACTCTTTTTACCATGCAGTATCTAGTACTAGAAAGGTGTAGAACTTCTCATTTGTCTAGGAATTTAAAGGTTTTCTCACCAGTTCATGATCGACAAACTATTAATATTATCATTTTTATTTTTAAGGACACCTATTGGACGTTTGCTTACGTGAACTCAATATGACACCACGCAAAATTGCCACAAACATTTCTTGGTACAAAATAATACCAAACAAAAACTGTACCAAATAAAAAACTAACAAACGTATCGAGGGACTTTGTTTTAGCAGCAATTTTTACAGCCCTTGCAACACAATATGGTAAAGTAAGAGCTGAAGATTAGAGGGGTTACAAGAGAGTAACAAACACAAAAAAGAAGAAGCGATACGGACGATAGATGTTTGATAGGAAAGAAAAAGCAAACCACACCAAAGCACCCTCCGACCACACACTTGGTAAGCGTTTATTGTCAAGCGCGGGACCAAGAGAAAATACTCACCACTTTGAGCAGCAGCATTTCAAATTTCTCCAAGACAGGTAAAGGCACCCTGAAATGAGAAAAATAACTCAGGAATCAAGATCACTTTCACAATTTATTCACGGACAACTTTATCTTTACATGGGTTGAAATGAACTGCTTCTTAGAACAATGAAACAACAGAGTAAAGCTGATGCTGATAGGCAGGAGAGAAAAAGACGACAGATGTTTGATAGGAAAGGAGGAGCAAACCACACCAGAGTACCGGTACCTGCCAACCGTTTAAGGAGCAAATCTGACCACCACTTAGCATAATGAAGCAAAAACACTGTTCTCCTCCTCTCCCCCCTGTTTTTAGACCTAGTTGTTTTTACACTTCCGTTTAATCAGTTTAGATCATTTAGGATGCTGGCTTCTATCCTGCCTGTTAGGGCCAGCCTGACCTGGGAGAGATACAGTGCCCCAGAAGAAAAGCAGCAGTCATGTATGAAAACTCTCTCCCACACCTGAATCGAACTCCGGCCTTCCGCTAGCCACAGGTACTGCCCTACCTTTGTCCCCTAGAGGCATGCGAAATATGTAAGTGCTGAAAATTAGAGGTGTTACAAGAGAGTAACAAACACAAATAAGGAGAAATAAGGACAACAGATGTTTGATAAGAAATAAGGAGCTACTGCCAACCACCCACAATACCACAGTCAATCTGTCTTACCTTTTCTTTGGATTTGACAGAATGTCCAGCAAATTTTTCATTTTCTTCTGATTCTTTTTACTCTCTGAAAAACAAGAAAAACAAATTTTTTAAAAAAAGATAAAGAAAAAAATAAATGACAATGCAGCTTGTAGACAAAACAGTGACAAGTAGGAGAGAAAATGTTGGGCTTTTTTTTCTCTCTCTCTCTTCCTCATGTCTCTAAGCACCACATCATAGACACTGGTACCTGTGTTTTGAGTCCCTATCGGTATTTATTACCAGGATAAGATTAGAGATGCTATTACCAGGATAAGATTAGAGATGCAGCTCTTCAGATGAACTAATATTTTTGCACACCACATGAAATGGCTTTTTAACGCCAGTGTGCTCAGTTCATTGTTGCTTACCGTCTGTTGCTCTCTCCTTTTTCTTTCTCTCATACCATTGGTTGTTCTCATTTCCTTATTCTTTTTCTTACCATCTGTTATAGTTATCTCTTTCTTTTTCTTGCTCTCTTACTTTCTGCTATCCTCTCTTCCTTTTTCTTTCCCTCTTACCATCCGTTACTCTCTAATCCTTTTTGCCCCCGTTCCCCAGTCCGTACCTTCATCTGTTTTCTTCTCGTTCTCCAGGATGTTCTTGCGCAGTGGCTCGATGTACTTGGACAGGTTCTCCAGCTTCTTCAGGTACTCCATCTCCTCCTGGGACGTGCTGGGCGGGCCGGGGCTGGGGTTCGACACCGACGTGCCTGCGGGGGAGTTTTTTGTTCAGTTTTAGTAAGTTTTACAGCACTTGCATTACAATTAGGTCATATTAGTGCCAAAGATTAAAAGAGTTACAAGAGAGTAACAAACACAAAAAAAGGAGGCGAGTTTAGTTTTAGTAAGTGTTTTATGGCACTTGCAACACAATTAGGTCATATAAGAGCTGAAATTAGAGGTGCTGTAACAAGAGAGTAACAAACATAAAAAAGGAGGAGAGATAACGATAATAGATGTTTGATAACCAGGCATCACAGAGAAATTTTTTACCAACCCCTGCACTTTGACGGTCGATGCTACAGACTTCCGTAAATATTGTGCACTCTCCACCAGCACCCTTTTGATCAAAATTACGACACATTTCTCTTACTTTCCTAACCCTACCATGGCCCGACTTAAGGCTGGGCGGAAAGACCGCAGGCGCGGATTTTGGAAAGTACTCGCAACCGCAGAAAATAGCGGAAAACTGTGATCTCTGGATAAGAAAGAATGAGCAAACAACATCACGGCTGTTCAGATCTACTATCCTTGCGGAGCACTTAGTTTAACCCGTCTGCTGACCTCCCGGGGTCATAAATCCCACCTGATCGCTTCCTGTGTGATATCGCTGTTAGCCGATTTTGGGTAGAAAGTTTGTAATTTTCTCTCTGTAAATGTCCTCTGTTATCTATCACTATGGGTGTGTGAGGTATCAAATGAAAGCCCAGACTCTCCCCAATAACCTGCATCTTTTTACTTCATTTCTCGATCTGAGCGTGTACACACACTACCTCCGTACTTAACCCTACCTCGTGCTGCATGTATTTCTCGGATTGTTACAAAGATCAGTATTTTTTTCCATTCGTGAAACACACATTGTTATCATTTTTTTATCTGCTGTATCAAGAGTCAGTACGGAGGTAATTTGCTCATAATTTTAAACAGTAGACCCACGAAAAAATGTTCCCCTTAGATGCCCTCAATTGCGCCCACGTTTTAAAGGGTGCCCTGCTAAGAATACCGAAAAAAAGTTATTTGCAGTACAGTCCAAGAAGGCCTCTATCTGTTGATAATAATTTCACGTTGATTTGTTTATGGGCAAAGCCACGATGAAGCTATTAAACAGGATAAAAATAGTTAAGTCACAACAGTTCACTTGTAGAGCAAAGGTTAAAGTGATCTCCATGACCACCCGGGCGTGGCATGGTTGACCTGGACAGTTCCTCCGATAACTAAGTGCTCCGCTAGGGAACAGCCGTGACACCACAGCACCAACCAACCACCCTCTCACCTGGCGTGTGGAGCATGGTGGAGGGCGAGGGGGCTCCCACCATGGGCGGTCGCATCATCGGCGGGCTCATCATGCTGGGCTGACTGTGGGGAGACATGATGGTCATCGGGGACCTGGGGAAAAGAAGGAAAAAGTGACCAGAAGCTCAAAGCACTTCTGCTTTATTTTCGTTTTGTTTCAGTAAGAGTTTACGAGTTTTTTTGTTTTAGTAGAGGTTTTACAGCGCTCGCAACTGCATTAGGTCATATGAGCGCCAGAAGATTAGAGGTATTATAAGAGAGTAACAAACATAAAAAAGAAGAAAGGGAGATAAGGATGAAAGATGTTTGATAGGAAAGAAGCAAACCACACCAGAGCACCCGTCAACCACCCATGTTTACGAGTTTTATGGCACATGCAACACAAATGGAAAATTTCAGGGCCAAAGATTTTAGGTCAACTAGAAAGTAATGTAGAGTATAAAAATTTTGTTTTGGTAAGCGTTTTATGGCACTTGTTGCTCAATAAGGTTATATAGTTGCCAAAGATAAGAGGTGTTACAAGAGAGTAACAAACACAAAAAAGGAGGAGAGATGAGGAAAGGACTATAAATGTTTGATAGGAAAGAAGGAGCAAATCACATCAGAGCACCAGCCAACCAACTACAAAAACTAGAGGTGTTGAGTTTGAAAGAGGAACAAACATTAGAAAACACCGGAGGAGAGATAAGGACAATAAATGTCAGATGGGACAGAAGGAGCAAACCCCATCAGAGCACCCACCAACCACCCACATGGCTTGTGAGAATGACTCCACACAAATGATTCACGAGAACACGACAAGCTACTCACCCCTGAGGTGGTGTCTGTATGGGCATTCCTGTCATGGCATCACGACCCTGGAGACAAAATTAGGGCAGAAAGTTTGTTTTCGATTCGGTAAGTAAGAGTTTTACAGCACTTGCAACACAATAAAGTTATATTCATGCTGAAGATTAGCGGTGTTATAAGAGAGTAGCAAACACAAAATAGGAAGAGTAGAGATCAGTACTTAAAGTGTACATTCTCCATGGAGTAAGAAGGAAGGAAAGCTTGCATACAAAAATAAAAAGTGAACAAATCTAGAATATAGTCAACATACAAAGAGTGTCAGAAGAGAAGGGGGGGGTAGCTTGAAAATCTAAGAATGAGAGAAGCTTTTTTCTTTTTCTTTTTAAAACTTTAGTAAGTAAGAGTTTCATGTCCCTTGCGAAACAATTAAGTCATACAAGTGCTGTAGGTTAATGGTATTACTAGAGAATAACACACACAAAAAAGGGAAGAAAATGACGACAGCTGTCAGATAATACTCCTCTCTAATACAAACCGATCGCCCAACTTGGAGCCTTCAAAACAAACGCATGTTTTTAAACGGTCACAGTCGGCTTCATTCGGTTTGTGCTACAATGGTTGCTTTTCACCCTCAATCTGGCTAGCTCCACCTCCCAAATCGAACTGAACCGAACTGATCGTGCCAATAGGCACTAGGTGTAAGAAAGGAGAAAACCGCACAAGGGGACCTGCTTATCACCCAAAGGAATAAGAGAGGACATTAACACAATAACTCAAAAACAACAACAAACCGCTGGACATCATCCCCATGAAGCGAGGTAGGACTTCATTTCATTTCCTGTGACAGTTTCTAGGGTGGCTCAATGCATAATATGGAGATAACAGTTGTCATTTCACAGTGGTGAAATCGAAGCAACAGGAAAGAAATAGCATATGTAGAGATAACGATAGTAATTTTGTATATGTGAAATCGGAGCAGAGTACAGGAAAGAAATACAGCAGAAGCTCAGAACACAGCCCCCTAGCTTGCTACACATGAGTGAAATACAATAGCAAAATGGGAAACAACCAAAAACTGAAGGCAGAACAGCTCGGTTTAAAATGAATCACAATCCTGTAAAAGGCAAATGAGTTCTACTTCACTACTGAAGCATAGTGGAAAATACATTTCGTCATAAAACAGCATGGAACTCAGTCAAGACACGAGATGCAAACATAGAACACATGCGTTCAACCAAAGACAGCACACTACAAGATACTTCACTCCTCTATTTGAGTTTTAAAAAAAATTGCCCTTAGAGAAGTTAGTGACAACTTTTATGTGGCGTTGGTACTCATTCTAGTGTTTAGGCTATTAATCAAGAGGTTGCGGGTTTGGGGGGG